ATTAGCAAAATCGGACAGAAACTCGATTTTATATGAATTTATTACGAAACAGCCCATAATTAGTTTTCAAGTTTTGACAAGGCTACAGGCCATATAAAATTCTCAAATTTTAACCACAAGTACTATAATTGCAACATTACAACATTTCCAAAAATCAGAATTTTTGGATAGACACACGATTTATAGTGATTTTAACAAAAACCGGTTGCAGCACGTTTTTCAAAAATTCATAACTAATTCAATACACATCGAAACGACGCGAGGCCAAAGGCGTTGCGTCAAGGACGATCCTAAGTCCAATAATCCACAGCACTTCCACATAAAATACTACTCGAAACTTAGTTCGATAATTTTCAAAGTGACGGCAATCACTTTGATACCCAATAGACACATATATATATCAAAATTCTCACAAACACATATCTAAAGCACGAATTAACTCGAATGTCACATGTTTCAGTAATTTAACATGTATACGAGCACTTAAACATATATAGGAGCGAGAAAAATGAGTCGAGGGTCAACCCGGGTACCGTTCTCGGGACGGGGTTACGAAAATCGAGCAAAAGGAGGCCGAACGGGGCCAGTTATGCACGCGTGAGAGGCCTGCTGGTCCGCCGGTTTGCTGGGCAGCGACGGGGTGCGCGAACGGAGATTGTACGGACAACAACGATGGTCCGGGACCGTACACGCGTGAACACGGGACCTTGGTACAATGATGCGACGCGAACCAGAACTAACGGTGAACGGCGAGTGTACGCGGAACAGCAGCGGGAGGACCTTCGCGTGGGGCTCGCGACATCAAAGCTTCGATGATGGGGCAAGCTCTTCGACAATGGCGGAGGAGCAGCAATCTTGAACAGCGAGGAGTGGGACCTGCTGGAATTTGCTCTCGCGGTCGGAAAGCAGAAGGGGTCCACCGCTGGAGATTGATCGCGGCGGTGAAGGGCTCGCCGGAGACAAGATATCATCGGAAGTGATCCCCGAGGCTGCTTCTCACAATCAGAAAACAGAGGGTGGCGACAATGGCGGCTCAGCGTCCGGAACTCGTCGGCTTCGTTTAACGCTCCGACGGAA